TTTCATTTAAAGCAAACAATTAAAAGTAGAATTGAGAGGTAAACATGGGAGTATTTTCTTCAGGGGATACCATGCATGAATGAAAAAAAAAGAAGGAAAAAATTGAAAAAATCGAGTGAATTATATCATATCTACAGTTAGTGCGATTTTTGTCAAAAAAAGAAAATTAGTTTGTGAAATTAATTTGAGAATATCAGATCATGGATCCCCAGACAACGCATCTTAAGTTCATTGACTAATGGATATGTGGATACCCTTGAATCTACTTGATGATGTAGCAACTATAAAGCAAAAGCCAAAATGATGGAAGAACAGGTGAATGACGATATGTAGAGAAATTTCAAAACACGATGGAAGTTATTTTTTAAGTTACAAATAATTACTTTTTTTATTTTTCTACTTATGATGTTAGAGAATTTTCGTTATTTTTTATACTCTATATGTTTCATTTTCCTCTTTTTTTTTTGTAATGTATTTCTTCCTCTTAATTACAGTAATTAGTTGCTTTACATAAATTTTATTTTTTTATTAATATAACCCCATGCGTTATGTGTGATTGTAAATATACCATCTTCTGTTAGGGATTTATCCGGGAGAGAAAACCTGACATGCAGTCCAATAAATAAGATAAGATTCATATGGACTCAAAATCTCAAGCTAATGGGCCATGAGTCCACCTTACTTATTAAGTGATTCACATGTCCTCATGCCTCCGATGTGGAATTCACGATCCTTGCCACATCCCTCAACATCATCTAAGATTTTCACAGTAGATATTTTTAGTGAAGAGATGTACATAGTCATTGTGAAAATATGATTTATTTATATTAATATACATCATATAAAGAGAAATTAGCAACGTGCAAATTGTTAGATTATTGTATAGTAAAAAACTCTCCGAATCCACAATGATGGGTATAAGTAATTTATTCTACAAATAACATGGAAAAAAGAAACAAAATATAATGTCACAATTCAAGCAAATGAAAAGCTAAGGATCCTAATACGTAATCATATCCTTCGGAGCATTTCTCAGTAAAGAGTATTCTTTGTCCTATTTTGAAATTCTCTTAGTTGTTCATGAGTGAAAATTAAATTTCGTAAAAGGATTTCTACCTACGAGAACAACTGTCCCTAACTCTTGTTTATTGTTATCGTCCAATAAAAATGTAGACGATATTTATGTTTTTGGACCATTCTTCAAAACCCCTTAACGTACCATATTTGAGCTCTACAATATTGGTACACATATATGTGATCATCGAGATCACTCTATATTATTTGACAAAAATATTATAAAAGGTTAATCGACGATTGTTTGTCATTAGGTTATGCCAATGGAAAGTTTGTCGTTTCCTTTAAAGTGTAAACCTATATTTTTTTGTAGCATATTGGCAGTTCTAGTGCCTATATATATATATATATATATATATATATATATCCGTCGCTAGGAATTTGGTGCATAATGTAATTAATTGCTTTACCTAAATTTTATTTTTAATTAAGTATATTTTACATTAGTTAAAGAGCATAAAGTTCACATAATTTTGAGTTTTCAGCACCGATCATCCAGAATCGCAACCTCAGGAGAAGATCTGGGACGAGTGAAAGAAATGAGTTTCTTTGTGCTTCTTTAAATTAATTTTCCGTTGTAATTTGTAAGTGTTTTGTCTACATAAGAATTTGGCATTCCATTTCGAATATTTATTTATTTTGTAATGCTTCTGTAGTTCTGTGATAGAATGAAACCTTATCAGTCCTGTTCTAATATGATGCTTCTGTCGTATTTATTCTTTTTAATGGTTCCGTGATTGGTAAGAATAATATGATGTAGGAGAATATTATGAGTTTTGTTTATACAAGAATATTGAAATGAAATGTCAAAAAGACTTTCATCTTTTCTAAAACATAATCCAATTTGTTATGCTTACTCTGTCCTAAAATTATTGTCCAGTTTGAGATTTCACTTTTAGTACGATTTGAACTAAAAATGAAAAACTCTGGACAATAATTATGGGACGGAGAGAGTAGTATTTTAGTTCAAAATATACAGTTTTGCTGGCACGGGAGACTACTGTATTCTTCTAAGTTAGACCTGCTAAACACTAATTTCTGCATCCTTTTCGAATTTTCAGATTGAAAGTATTTTGCTAGGTAGTACTTTTTTTTAGGGCTTATTAATCGTTAGTCAACTTAACTAAACTACGATATAGTCGGTATTTTCTAAAAAAAAAATTATAAATTAACTCTTTTTAGACGTAGATCACCTTCATTACACGTAACAAAGAAAGAAATAGAATACGTAAATTTAACTAGACTTTCCAGAGTTCCCATTAAGTAGCTATACAGATGTTACAATCTTGACTCAGTTTCACCAACCTGACAACCTCACGTTAAGTTTTCAACATTCCAAACTTCACTAAACGGATACATTTTCGGTCTTGAGTATTAATTGTCTTCGATCCAAATGAAATATCTGATTTTTCTTTTAATTAGTTTACAGACAATAAACATAAGACAATCTTCTAAGAAAGAGAAAAGTGTAAATTTACAATAAACTCTCATATTACAAATGACCACCTGCTAATTTGAACAACACAAATAAAGCAGTCAGATTCTGTAGATTTGTGATGTACTTTCTTCGTCCCAAAAAATAGTCTATGTTGAGTTTTTAAATTTGTACTAAAATAGTATATATCCCAAAACTCGATGCGGACTATTTTTAGAGAAAATAGGAGTATTATTATTATGTAAAAAAAAGGTGAAATTATTGTTATTAAGTTTTGATGATATGAATGATGAATGATGAATTAAATAAAGGAAAAAACGAGCCCTTAAACGTGCTACTTTTGTGATCTGGACAAGTATAAAATTTACAAGACAGAGTTATTACATGTATGAAAAAATTTGACTTGAAACATCAAATTGTAACAAAACGTACAATATCGTGAATGCTTTATAAGATGCATGATTATAACATCAAATCGTACAGCAATTTTTGTTTTGTAGACTTAGATTTATTCGGAGCAAATTCTCGAGAATAAATATAGTCTGTCTAGTACACTTTGATCGTCCTCATGTTCTTGTATCTTTCTCCTATCTAAAAATAGAGTTATGTTTGTTAAATTATTTTAATATTAAAAATACTTTTTTTTTTTAAACGAACTAAGGACAACGTAACGAATCCAATCCAATTAAATATTTTTTTTTAATCGTAAAGAACTGTTTGGACAGGCTATTGCTTTGTCTCACTATATGTTGATGTTCACAATCGAAACACAATGATAAATTAGCCGTCTTCAACAAATTAAAGGGAAAAATGTTGTAAATAAAATTACAAAATTTTCACTTGGTGGATTCGAAATTTATACATAGTTCCAATATAGCGTTCAAAGATTTAATTGAATCAATCGCCAACTGAATTACTTGTTGTATTATTGGGAGAGTACTAATCAAAGAGACAATTCTGTCAATAACTCGACGGAATCAGGAAGTTTTCGGCGACTTAATTACTCTTAGCCCCTCCTCTTATTATCGAAAAAATATCTTTTCCATTTGCATATGTGTTCCATACAAAAGAGTATTAAGTTTCGAGTTCAGTCACTTTCATAATCAATAATGCATGGTGTATAAATTTATGGTCCATTGTGTATTTGTAATATATTTTTTTGGTCTTATTACAAAATATATAACAAACTAGAACAAATTTCAGAGTTGAAGATAAAATCTTAATGATTTAATCCGTATATCAACAAAAATCATTGTTGATTGTGTTAATCATACATTTTATTTTTGCTTATTATTTGCCCTTTGAGTAGCACTCCTTGCGACAATAATTAGGAGGACAGAGTTGATAGATTTTTCATTTTTATTTTTTTAACGGAAACAAATAGGTTGCTCATCCTATAATGGTTTTATAAATGTAAAGGACTAAAACAAGTTTAGAAGGTACTCCTTCCGTCTTCATATAAGTGTTTTATTTTATTGTACCATTTTAGTTCAATAAAGCTGTTATAGAAAAATTTAATTCGATTGAATGTTCACATTAATATGTATTATTCTATTCACAATCAAGGAGATATAATTCTGTAATATTTAGCATTAATGATAGGTGATTCATTTCACATAGTTTGATCCCCTACTTCTTGTATAAATAGGGAGTTCATTCATACTTCAAAATACATCTAAATACAAGTCTCTTGTCTCTTTCTATTCTCTCGTCTCTCCTCTTTGTTCTTATGCTTAGTTTCATATTAGTAGTCTAGCATTAATTTTAGAACAAAAGCGATTTTTTTTTATTTTATTTTTTATTTTTGGCTGACAAAGGGAGAATATAATTAATAAGGGACCAAAATTAACATGTACTCTAAATAAAATAACCATATTGTTAAATTATTTACTTCTTAGTTCTTACTATAGAGATTGAAATCCCGCAGCTAAGCTGGCCGTTAAAAATAAAGAAAGGCGGGAGGGAAATCGTAACTGTAACTTCCACCAATCAACTATTCGCACGTTTTATATACAATCACGAAAAAGCAGAAACGGAAATTAATAAAAGAGATGATGATCATCATTATAGGACAAATTGCTGCAAACTGGAAAACACACAACACAAAGTTCCACTGACCCATATAACAAAAAGTTAAAAGAAAGTATCAGACAATCTGCTCACATGATGTAATTTTATTCCTTTATAAAAACAATTGTATATTTTTGTAGATTACCATAAGCCAATCAAATCTGCTGTTTTCTTTTTTCTCTGGGTTTGTTCAACTGTATAAAGCTGCACATTCTCATTAACAACTACTACTTCAACCATTACCTTATCTTTCTTTTCTTTTTTTTTTTAATTTTTTAATTTTAATTCAGTTTCTCTACCATTCTTTCTACATTAACTACTCCTTTTTTTGAATGTGGGATTCCAAAAATTTTTGGGGTTTTTTTGAAGCTTTCTAAGAACATCCCTCATTCCCATTTTGAGTAAAGGTACGCTGGATTCAGTTAATTCAGTGTGTAAGCAGCTTTTGTTTGTTAAATTCTCTCTGTTTCTGTCTTCTCTTAAAAGGGCCTGGAAATTCATGCGATTTTAAACGTTCTCTTTAGTTCTGTTTAGCTTAGCTTGTATTTCTTGTCAGTAACATTGGAAACTGAGAATGCCTTGAATTTGAATATTCCTCTGCATCTGTTAGAGTCTGTTCTAGACATGAGTTATGTAATCATAACATTTTGATGAAATTGTTGATGATTTCATTTCATTTCATTTTCATTTTGTCAGCAGAATTCTGTGATGGGGTGGAGGAAGAAGGTTGATAAGACAGTTCTTTGGCTTTTATTGGTACACATTCTGTTGATATCAGTAGTGGGCGCTGATAACCGGCGCTTGAACCTATGGCCAATGCCAGAATCAGTGAGCCATGGACAAGGAACACTTTATCTTGACAGTGAAAAATTTGAGCTCAAGACTGAAGGAAGCAAATATGGTGATGCCTCAGGGATTCTCAAGGATGGATTCTCCAGGGTACTTGATATAATTAAAGGAGAACATATCATTCAAGGCACTTCGCGATTCGGTTCCTCTGTTGTGATCAAGGGGATTCATGTTGTCATTCTATCATCAAATGATGAGGTACAACATTTGAATCCTTAAATTTCATTACCAGATTGTGCTTTTTCCCCCATTTTGAAGTGATAGGCAATTCACTAGGAAGCTTTATGTTGCAGTTACAATATGGAGTTGACGAATCTTACAAGTTATCGATTCCGGTACAGGGAAATCCACTTTATGCTCATATAGAGGTGGGCATCTGTTGGGTTGTTGCATTTATAAGTTGATATTGTGATGAAAGTGATTCTGGTTTGTAAGCAAATCTTGGGTTTTTTTCTAAGAGTTATCTCCCTTGCAGGCGCAAACGGTTTATGGGGCTTTGCATGGGTTGGAGGTTTCTTCTCTTTTTATACCTTTGTCCCTTGATTAAAGTCACTTCTTAAATAGGGTGAAGGGATCAAAATGGATTCTAACATAGTTTTTATGTAATTTTCGGGGAATTAATATATGTTGCAGACATTTAGCCAACTCTGCTATTTCAATTTTGAAACAAGAGTGATTGAACTTCATCAGGCTCCTTGGACCATTTCAGATAAACCAAGGTTTTCTTATCGAGGGCTGTTAATAGGTGAGATGCCTCTATCACAAATAAGTGCCTCTAATGTCAATGTTCATAATAATTGTGTGCTTCATAGTAAACTGCTCTATATTTTAGTTCTGCCTTTGGTGTATGGTTAACACAGATTCTAATGGAAAACTCCTTTTCGCTTCTTCCAGATACATCTAGGCACTTCTTGCCTCTACCTGTGATAAAGAAGGTCATTGATTCTATGACATATGCCAAGCTGGTATGTCACATTGAGTTTTACCATATTTTCCAGTAAAGAAAAGAAAAACATTGAGTTTTACTTGTGAATCATCACTTGCACCTATAAAATTTGTAGTTGTGGTTTGAGCTATTTCTTTTTCACCTTGCAACCCAGTACTCATGACTTCTTCGGTATTGCATTAATGAATTCTCTTGAACTGATTGCAGAGTTACTGTCCTTTCTCTTAGAAATGGATGTTCATTAGTAGTTTAGAAATGCATGACTGTTTGTTTCTGCTTGGCCATATCGGCTTTAGGTCTTCTAGTTCTTTTGATAAAGACAGTCTGGACAAAGTTATTTATACAAATGGCAGAATAATGTTACATTTTTGTGACTATCTGGCGCTTATAAACTGGAGTGCTGGCTATCAAGAGACATTTAGCACTAGGTTTTCTAATCATTCTCCTAGTGCATCTGATGTGACATAGTAAGACAATGGCTACTTCAAGAATTCTTCTATCTCTGATGCACAAGCATGTAGAAGAGTGGCTGATATGATATATCAGACGATTAGAGTTTTGATTAGAAACTTGTAATATTATTGTTGTTTCAGAACAGCAATTTGTGTATCATCTATCTCATTTGAAGTCAATGCTCTTTTTTTGGCATTGCAGAATGTGCTGCATTGGCACATTGTGGACACACAATCATTTCCTCTTGAAATTCCTTCATATCCAAAGCTATGGAAAGGTGCTTACTCCAGTACCGAAAGGTATACTATGGCGGAAGCTGCTGATATAGTAAGGCAAGTGATCTGTTTCTTCCATTGTTTGGTGAAAGGTGCTTTTAGGTCTCTTCTTAACTACATCTTCTAATATCTAAACTCCAATGCTACAGCTATGCGTACAAAAGAGGCATTAACGTATTGGCTGAAATTGATGTACCAGGACATGCTGAATCCTGGTAATGCTGAATTGCTCTTCCTGATGGATCTTCTTTTTCATATTAACAGTCAATTTTGATCATGAATCATTTGTTAGTTCTGGGCTCAGGATTTTACCTATGATTTATGATGTCTTGTCTGAATTTTTGTTTGGCATTTGCTGCCTTCAGTACTAACAATTTGCAACTTTCAGGGGGGTAGGCTATCCCTTACTCTGGCCTTCAAAAAATTGTACTCAGCCCCTTGATGTAAGCAGTGATTTTACTTTCAAAGTCATTGATGGAATCCTCTCAGGTGATGCATATTTACTACAATGTGTTTGATATTCACCAAAGATCATGTAAATTCTAACTCTTCTGAGTTGTTTCCTTTTTTCAGACTTCAGTAAGGTGTTCAAGTACAAATTTGTCCACCTTGGGGGTGATGAAGTTGATACTAGTGAGCTTCACATCTTTCATTATGCTCATTACCACATTAGATCTACTTGTTGTCCACCATATAACACTCATCTTGATTGCAGGTTGCTGGACTTTGACACCTCATGTAAGTGACTGGTAAATACACTCCTAACCTTTGATTCCCCTTTACTATTTTGTGAATGATACTATTCACGTTGATAATGGATCCTGTCACATACTTGTTTGAAATTTTTGCAGCATTTTGTTGCTTACCCTGGTATAAGTTTATTTGCAATGTTCATTAATATACGCTACACTTTTGATTTGTTGAAAATCTCCATCAAAATTAAGAAATGTTTAATGCTTGAATGAATGCTGGTTTCATATCGGTCCAATATCACTCTGCAACATTTGCCTTTTCATGGATGACACGGTGACAACTATCTTATTTTACTTTTTTGTGATGATGTGGTAGGCTTTTACTGAAATTTGAGTGCATATAAATAAGATTCCCTTGTGTCTATTCTTTTAGGAACTTCAAAGGAATAGTTCTTCATCTGATAGTTATTATGTACGTATAGGTTAATCCTTTAAATTGGGATAAGATTATAGGAATCCAACCAAGAATCTGTTGGCAGAATGACTTCTCTTGTTTATTAGTTCCATTGTAGTGAACTATTTTGGTTCCATCTATGGTTTTGAAGTAGAAAAAAGCTTAAATTTGATTGAACAGGTTGAAGAAGCAAGGCCTTGATGCATCTCAGGCGTATGAATACTTTGTATTGAAGGCACAAGAAATAGCTCTGTCCCATGGTTATGAAATGATAAACTGGTATATAATCCAACTCAGTAGTGATACTTTCTTCATCAAGGAGGAATTAGTCTTTTAACTTAGTGCGCTTAAACATTACAGGGAAGAAACATTCAACAATTTTGGTAGCAAGTTGAACCCGAAAACTGTGGTTCACAACTGGTACGCTTTCTTTATGTCCTAGAAAACACTGCATGATTTTGATCATGCAGCTGCTTTTTTCCTGCAAACATAGAAAATTGCGCACTTCTTGGTTCAAACATGTTTATCTGGTGCTTTGTGCCCTTACAACTTATGGAGTTCCAAGAAGACTATTATGTTCATTCTTATCTATGTAGAGCCGATACATTGTGTGTTCTTCACTGTTGCTATTTCTGAAATTTAAGTCTCCTCATATTCTGCAATGTACGTTTTCTGACAGGCTTGGAGGTGGTGTAGCACAGAAAGTAGTTGAAGCTGGATTGCGGTGCATAGTAAGCAATCAGGATAAATGGTACTTAGACCATTTGGATGCAACATGGCAAGGTTTCTATTCCAATGAGCCCCTCACAAACATTACAAAACCTGAGCAACAAGCGTTGGTTTTAGGTGGCGAAGTATGCATGTGGGGAGAACACATCGATGGATCAGATATCGAACAGACTATATGGCCACGAGCAGCTGCAGCTGCCGGTAATGTCTTGTAATTTTTGCAATGCACAAAGATTTTCATACTGCCTTTATATACCCTGTGAAGTAACTAACTGAAAAGTACTAATGCAGAGAGACTGTGGACACCTTATGACAAACTAGCCAAGGATCCAAGAGAAGTTACAGCAAGGTTAGCTAATTTTAGGTGTCTGTTAAACAAAAGAGGAGTAGCTGCAGCTCCATTGGCTGGTCCGGGGCGAGTCGCCCCATTCGAGCCAGGTTCCTGCTACAGACAATAGTCCGGCAAACAATTTCGACAATGGGGGAGTTCTTCACTGGAAGATTGACAAAAAAAAGAACATATTTGATGATTCAACATTTTATTCTTTTGATGAAGTGTTGACATTGTTATACTAGTTAAATAATCAGGTCCATTCTTTTTGTAAGACTTCTTGGAGGAAAGAATTGAAAGAGGTAACAGTAACCGAAGGTGAAATTGATTTAAGCAATTTGCATATGAAAATGGAGGAATTGGTCATAGAAAACACTTCCAAGTTCCAACAATCACAAATTCACAGTATATGTTGTTCCGATGTCCCACCTCACAAAATTACAATCATTCAATTTATATCTAGACAACGAGTGTAACTCACCTCTATTGGATTCAAGGATCAGGATTTTTTCCTTCCCAGCAATTTATGTGGAGGCATGACTATACCTGTAGTACTCTTGTCCAAAAAAAAAAAAAAAACTAATATATTTGCGATATGTGATACTAAAACGGTTCAAAACACAAAACTTTTATTGTGGAACAGACGCTTATAGGTTCAACCGTTTCGCTATCTGAAGATTCAAATTTCATTGAGACTATATTTTAGAATGTTAGGGGAGAGGGGTAAATCATTCTCCAGACGAACGAAGTATAATTTTTTAAAAATAAAATTGGCCTCTAAATTATTAGTTTGATATGGGAAAAATTGGTCGATCTACCCAAAAGTTGACATGCGTTGTCAATTTTACCATATTCTTTTTCGATTAGCCAATATTATCCGAAACTATCCAACCGTTAGCCGATTTTGTCCAATTGGCCAATTTCCGTTTAAATTAACGGAATTTTGTTAGTTTTAATTACAAAAAATACCCTAATAGTTTTAAAAATTATAAAAATGACCCTAAAAATTTGTAAAAATAACCAAACAGTCTTTTTGCACTTTTTATTTAATTTTTTCTATTTTTTATTTATTTTTATTATTTCTCATAACTATAAAAATAGATTATATGATCTTTTAAAAAAACTATTTATTTTTAAACACTACTGTGCAAATTTGCACAATAGTGTTTATGTAAATCAACCATGAGTTAAAAATAAACAATTGTGTTTAAAAGATCATATAAATTTACACAATAGTGTTTTAAAAATAAATAGTTTTTTTAAAGATTATATAATATATTTTTATAGTTATGAGAAATAGTAAAAAGAAATAAAAAACAGAAAAAATTAAATAAAAAGTGAAAAAAGACTGTTTGGTTATTTTCATAAATTTTTGGGGTCATTTTTATAATTTTTAAAACTATTAAGGTATTTTTTTGTAATTAAAACTAACGGAATTCCGTTAATTTAAACAAAAATTGGCAAATTGGACAATATCGGCTAACGGTTGGATAGCTTAGGGTAATATTGACTAACCAAAAAAGAATAAGGTGAAATTGACAACGCATGTCAACCTTTGGGTAGATCGGCCAATTTTTCCGTTTGATATGGGTGCACTTTAACTCGTATATTTGCATTTAGTAAATGATGAGTCGTAATACATACAAGAAAAAAAATTGCAAGAAAAATTTTACAAGAAATTTTTGTCAATTATTTAAATTATTCCCAAACTTTAAATATATAAACTCTAAATTAAAAATAAATACAGTAGAACGTTGGTAAATTAATAATCGACAAATTAATAACTTCTAACAATTAATAATTTTTTCCGGTGCCAACTTGGGACTAGTACAATAAAATGAGAAAAATCGATAAAATGATAAGATAATAATGTTTCAAAAAATCTCTTATATATCTATAGGTCCCAATAAAATTATAAATTAATAAATACCCTAAAAGCAAATAAATAATCTTAATAACTATAAATATTTAATTAAATATGACTTATTGATATTTGTTTTTTGGTCCCTGAAGATGATATGAACTGTGTATGGATTTTAGTATTCTTAAAAATTTTAATACTTGATTGGTTTGAATGTAAAGACAAATGCAAATTAAGCAATTTAGCAACAAATCTTTTTTTCTCATCAAAATCTTTAAATTAATAATTTATTAATTTATTGATTATTTAATAATTTTCTAAGTTAATAAATTTTGGTGGTCCCAACACATTTAATTTATAGAAGTTCTACTATAGATGTAATTATTATTTATCACTTTTTCTCTTTTTCCATGTATTTATGAAAGTTGCTAAATATAATGATGAAGCCTTGTTATTGTATTTAATATTAAGACTTCATTATCATTCTAAATGCAAATACTGTATTTAAAATTGAAAGAACTCCTGGAAGAAAGAATTGAAAAACAATCTAAATAAATGTGAAATGTTTTATTTTCTTTTTTACTGAAATGTTTCTCAATAATGAGCTTAATTATATTGAACACATTGATAAAATCATTCATATATCCTCCAGCGAAATTTACCGAAAATAATAATAAAAAATTTATTTTTTTTCACTACTGATACCGAGTTGACCGAGTGACATGTCAAAAGTAGGGAAGACATTCATCTTACAACTTCAACGACTCTTATAATACTACCTAGCGAAGAAAGATGGAAGAACAAACTAGGTACAAGTCAAAGAAAAAGTCCTGTACTTTCTAAAATCAAGTCATAATATATCGGGAATCGAATGTTGCCCCAGCAGTTGTGGTGGATAGGGGCCTCCTGGATGACCCAGGATCGAATCCCATAGGGTGGGAAATTGGTAGGGAGTTTGGGAAGGGGGGTTGAGGGGGTAGATTAGGTAGTCCAAAAAAAAAGTCATAATATGCTAATTTTAGCACCATCCAAGACCAATTGTAATACAGTATAAGAATTCTACCATACTATTTGTGTGGGTAATTAAAACTTTTTAATTGAAAATGGTAAAATAATAGTGATAATAATTAACTAATTTAATGCTCTATCTTTCCTAAATTATTTTTATATTCACACTTTTAAATTTTAATCACAATATACACATAAAACAGTCCTATCTTTTCTCCTGATCACAATCATATGAAATTTCTTGCAATAAAGTATGAAAGTCTATATTTTTTGTGTATGAAATTTGTAATTTAAAGTAATGAAACTCTACTCTCTTTTTTTTTTAATGAAAATTGATGATTTTAGCTGTGAAATATTTTTTGTTGTTATGAAATTTCCAACATAAAAATATGAAAATCCATGCATTAGTCCAGAATTTCATAACTTATAGTAGTAAAAATTCTACTTTTTTTGTTATAAAAGTTATGAATAAAAATCACTACTTTTTATGCAAAAGTAATGAAAATTATACCTTGGGTGTATGAAAATTGATGAACAATCATGGGTAACTTTTTTTTTTTTCAAAGGATTAATAGTGTTTCCCTACTTACCCTCGGCTTGACTCGAACCTGTGACCTATTGGTCAAAGGTGAGGTGTCTTACTATTAGACCGCACCTCGTTGTCACAATCATGGGTAACATATTGATTCTTCTAATCCATTCAAGTGTCTAAATTAAATTTCTGGTCAATATTGATTCAAATTTACATAGTTCATATTTAGCACTAATGGATGCTATCGTTGATGCACTCCCAAAAGAAATTTATAAAAACCTACTTAAAACTATTAGCTAGCGGTAAGCAGGGTCGTTCCACAGAAATGGTAGTCAACCACTCAAAATCTGATTAAAGTGCAAGAAAAGAAAAGTAAATGAACTGAACAGATTTGTCACTTGGGAGAGTGAAAATAGTCACTTAACAGAGTGAAGAGGAAGAAGGGTCAATCATCTTCCTACCTTTATGATCCAGTTTTGATTCAAGTAATCTTGTAGTGTATGATTTATTGTTTGATCAGGCACATATATCTTTTATAATTCCTCTCAGACAGAATAAAGAGTCCTAGATTATTTAAATTACTCACCTCTCAGTTAGTGTAATTCATTAATTTAAGCCATTTAGGTCATAAGGCCTCTTTGATCACCTGTTCCAATCACCTAACTCTCATTGATGATTGAAATCAAAAGGTATATTTCCTCCTTTGTCATAGACTAGATTAAGCAGTTCTAAAGTTATGCTCCCCCTCTCATATCCTCATAACTATGCATGCACATTTAATCAAGAGGCCAGTTTAATCAAAAAGTTAATTGAAACACTTATCTAGACACAATGCCTCATCAAGGAAAACTGAATCAAAACCTTCACATAAAGATAGTAGGGATTGAACCCTTAACTAAGTTAGCTACTCATGTTTATTGAGTTAAACATGAGAGCAACAAAGTACAAAACATAAGACATAATTCAAGATAAAAAAGTTAGAGGATAGAAGGGAAAGATGGTAGCAGGGCAGTTTCTGTCTGCTCACTATGCGAGTGGCGTCCGCCACTTGACAGAGTGACAGTCTGCACTCTTGCTCCTGCTACTACCCTGTTTCTAACTAACTAACTAACTACCTAACTACTGTCTTTGTAACTGATTCTATCTACCCAATCTATTCTTCTTTCTAACTGCTATTGGTTGACTACTTATAGAGATTTGGAGAGGCTTGGATTGGTGGAGTTCTAGCCTTCCTTGCAGTAGATTGGAGGAGGCAGCAAGTTGAAGCTGCTGAAGTGAGTTGTTTATTCAGCAACTTGGCAAGTTGTTGTCTTCTCTTAGTAGCTCCTTTCTTCTATTCAGCCGCAATTAGCCGCCTTGTACTCATCATTGTTTTTTCTCCTTAGTCTTCTTCTCCGGCGCATCCTCACCATTTGCAGCCACGAATCTCCATTTCTTCATTCTTTAATCTTCACAGCTCAACTAGCAATAGCAGCAAGCAGCAGCATCAGCAGCATGCTTCCTTCCGTCATTGTGTTTCCAGCCCCCAATTTAGCCTCAATCTTCTGCCCTTTTTCATCCTTGTTTCCTGGGTCACTTGCTACACCATTGCTCACCCTTCTTTAGCAGCCAATCCATCAACTTAGCAACAGCATCAATTGGAAAGTAGCAGAGTTATAGTTGTTCTTCACATATATTTCCTCTTTCTCTTCTTCCACTTGCGGCAGCAACAACTTGCAGTGATGCC